TAGAGACCGGCTTCCCATCCACATGGCCTTTGAGGTAGAGAGGCTTCATATGATGGTTTGATTCATCGAGCTTCTCAAAAACCGTATCTTTAGGACCTAATGAGAATTGAGCAACCTCGGCTTCATCCATAGCACAAAACTCCATAGGCAACATATATACCATATTTATATACATGTCTTCTTTTGGAGATAAATCACTTTTATCAACCGATTGTTCTTCCTTCTCCTGTACATCAATCGGTTTTGCCTTCTCTATGGATTTAGGCCTCCATATCGGTGGTGGTCGCAACTCATTGAACCTTTTATCCCTTTGATCTTCGGCCTTTTTCTCCCTTAGTTCTTGGGTCCGAAGACGTTGCAACCTTCTCTTTTGAGTAGCCGTCAAATCCTTAGGCATCCACCTAGGATTCGGCTCTGTTCCAGGAGGTAAATAATGTCCTCTATTGACTTTGCTTGAAAATGATGAAGCCCTCACATCGCTCTTTACAATCCTCTCATCAAACCGGCGCTGGAGCCCGGTCAGACCGGCCGTAGACCACCGGTTAGACCGGCCAGTCGCGCCGGTCAGACCGACGTGTGGCACACGGTCAGACCAGCCTGAGGCGTCGGTCGGACCACTATCGGGTCGACGGTCAGACCGGCCTGATGGCCCGGTCAGACCGGCAACATGGCCGCGGTCAGACCGGCCAGAGGGCCTGGTCAGACCGACCGTCTGCGAGGAGCTGGTACCGGCTTCGGATTTTTTGCTTGGGGACTTTCCAACTCCATCTACAGAATGTATAGGCACATCATGGGACCCACTTTGATAGTAATTACTTCCGAAGTCCTCTCTTCCACCTTAACGCGCTTTCCTTCCCTCTTTTCTTCATTAGCCCGATTCTTACCATAGAACCGGCTATTGTTTGGCGAAGACAAACGCTCATGAATTGTCCTCCTTGGTCCTCCCCACCCTTGGTTGAATTGCATTGGAGGCATATGATGGTACATTGGCGGCGTTGCCCCCCATGGCATGAAGTAGGGATAAGAATAACCCGGCGGCGGCATCGGATAGGGACCCCATGACATGTCTTGTGGATGATGATATGAAGGTGAATGCGACCGTCTTGGTGAATGACCAAATCGTTCCCTAGGAGGTGATCTTGGTCTCTTCCCTTTGTTGCGAATTTTCTCACCACCTTGCCTCTCATATTTCTCCAAAAGCATATCAAAGGTCACTTTGGTCTTCCTAGGAGCCTTATAAGTTGAAGCTCCACTCTTATTCTCCTTCCAAACACCAACCTCCGGCTTCTTTGGCACCATCATCTTTGATCTTGGTTCACCAATGACCACTTCCTTTCCCTTAGTAGATTCGGCTTGCTCCGGCCGAATCAACACCTTCTTATCATTGAAATTAATTGTATTCACCGGAAAAGGATCATGATCAAGCTTCATCTTGGAGCCATCGGTGAACTTCAATCGTCCTTCATCTATGGCCGATTGAACCTGTCGTCGAAACACATTGCAATCATTAGTAGAGTGAGAATGAGAATCATGCCATTTACAATATGCTCGACGCTTCAACTCTTCTTGCGATGGTATGACATGGCCTTTAGGTAATCTAATTTGTTTTTCTTGCAAAAGGTAATCAAAAATCTTATCACACTTGGCCACGTCAAAACTATACTTAACCTCACTTTGCCGATCTTTGCGAGGAGTCGGCATTAAGTTAGAGCAAACAAAAGGCTTATTTTTATTATTCCACGACCATTCGGCAACATAAATATCATGATCACCCTCCTCCTCACTATCACTAGCCTCAGGGTAATCAACTACATTAACATTAGGCTTTTTGTCAAATGGTCTAGCAAATTTTTTATTATCCTTAGCCCGGCTTTCTTGAGCCAGAGCCCTTTGCATGAGTTGACTAACATCAAGAAATTGTTGGCCGTCTAGTTTTTTTCTAAGAGGAGCAACTAAACCATTAAAAGCAAGACCGGCCAAATCTCTATCAGTTATATTCAAAGTATAACATCGGTTTCTAACATCTCTAAATCTCTTAATATAATCAATGACATATTCATTATACTTTTGCTTAACCGATGTCAAGTCACATAACCTAAGCTCAGTTTCCCCAGTATAGAAATAATCATGAAATTGTTCTTCTAATTGAGCCCAAGTATGAATAGAATTTGCCGGTAAAGAAGTAAACCATGTAAAAGCATTACCGGATAAAGATAAAGAAAACAAGCGCAATTTAAAAGTATCACTATTAGCCTCACTACATTGCACTAAAAATTGACCTACATGCTCCCATGTGGTCTTACCATCCTCACCACTAAACTTGGCAAATTCGGGAACTCTATAATTTCGAGGAAACGACACATTATCATAATAATCAGGATATGGCTTTTTGTAAGCTCTAGCATGATTCCTAGTTTCAATCCCGAATCTATTCCTCATAATATCACTAATCATATCCTCCATGTTATTAGGCCCTTGTGGATTTGGCGGTGGGTTTGGTGGCCTAATAGGATGTGTTTGTGGCGCAATATGATTATATTGGCCTTGCATAGTATCGGGAGGATAGCCTCTAGAAACATCATTATAAGCATTAGGAATATGTGGGGGAACTTGAGGATTAGTGGTGGCAGTAGATACAGGAGGATCAAATGTTTTAAAGTGATACAAATAACTAGCATTAGTCATTGGATCTATAGCCTGAATTGGGACGATTGTGCCGGTCTGACTGGCCCAGGGTCTGACCGCCGGGGTAATACCCGGTCTGACCGGCCGTCTGGACGGTCAGATCGACGGCTATGTTGCGGTCTGACCGGCCGTCAGGCCCGGTCGGACCGACCGTGAACGCCGTTCCGTCGGTTTTACTACCCATTGGATCTATAGGAGGTTGATCAACAGTGGTATAGGCTTTATCCTTTAATGTGTAATCATCCATAAAAGAATCGAGCCTACTCCTTAAAAAACCATCAACTTTATCCTTAAACATTACATCTAATCTATCTTTAAAATTAGCCATAGATGAATCTATTGTAGATGCAATTTGTTGTTGGATAGATTGTGATACCTCGTCATTACTTACCACGTCGGGAGTGAGCTTGGGACGTGGCCCGGGCTTGATGATCATGCCTTGACGAGTCCTAGTAGTTGCTCTCATCAACGCCTCCCGTGTGAGCTCATTGATGTATTCCTCCATAGCTTTGCGATCTTCTCCTTCGAAGTCATCCAATGTGACTGGCATCACATTAGATGGCTCCACCTCCGTCTTGGATGGCGGCTTCGTCATGGCGAAATCGAAGTTGAGTTGACGATGAACGGATCTCCTCCCCAGCGGAGTCGCCAAAAATCGTGTTGGCAACTTTTTTGACAAGTTGACAAGCACGATCGCAGCATCTTAAACCTTGCGGTGATCCTAGAGTCGCCAACCACCTCGATCTAGCAAAGAGCTAAACCTAGATGGGTTTTGATAACTAAACCGGCTAGCGGAGCCGATTTCTAGATAGCTACCCGTCTCGTGGGAAAAACGGAAGGTTTTCAGGACAAACCGACAAAGAGATGTCGCACTCTCGCAGCGGCGACGGACGGTTTACGGTGCAAACCGATAAAGATGGACAAACTAAGAGAAAACTAAAAGCAATATAAAAAACGATTCGATTGATTGATTGTAGATTGGTTTCTTACAATGAACCGGCCATGTCCCTTATATAGGGGTTGGTCTTGCCCTCTATAGGCCCTCCTCCACGTCCAACTCGGGGTAGAAACCAAAGGAAACCCGAAACATGTCTTCCTGAGCAAGGAAACTTCGAGACCCGACGAAACAGAGTCGGACTCGGACCTGCCGGTCAGACTGGCCACACACCGCCGGTCTGACCGGCCCTCAACCGGCGGTCTGACCGCCCAACATACGGCGGTCAGACCGGCCCACTTCGGAGGAACCGGTAGACTTCCAAATTTTGGCAATATTTCCTATTTTAATCTTAGGTGCCAAATTTAGATGTAAACAAAGTGTGTATCGAGTGGGGAGATGGGTGAGAGGAGGAGTAACTATATAGCAACATCTAGTAGTTATACGGTAGTATACGACCCCCTATACAGTATAGGAATACTTCTTGAGGGTGAAGAAATCATCATATCAGTCCGTTCGAAACGGCCACATCTTGACCATCCATCCCAGTGGGCAAACTAACTACGGGCCCAGCAAATTATTATTGGCCCAGTTAAGACACACACACACAGAGAGAGAGAGAGAGAGCGGGCCGGTCCGGGAGAAAAGGAAAAGAGCGGCCCGAATGAATAGTGAATGTTGAGATTTTTCCAAGAATTGTTTGAAGGATAATTGAAAGATTTGAAACGGGGATTTGATTCAAAATTTTATATTTTGTTCTCATGAAATTCTAAATATTTTATAGAAGGGCTGAAATACCAATACTTGGATATTTTTGGAAGAGACTTGAATATTGGTATGAATTTGAGGAAAAGAAAGAGAGGGCATTTCAATGGAGAGCTTCAAATCAAAGTTTTAAATTTGATCTAGGAGTTTAGGGGAGAGTTTTTTTTTGTGTGTAGATATTTAAGGACTTGGGATTCGGAGGAATTGTAAAATGAACCTGGAAAAGAAATCCGAATTCATGGATTTGAATTTGGATAGGGGTAATTGTTTCGAAATTTTAACTGAGATTTTGGCACTTACATTCTTACAAAGATCTAAAATTTTAAAATCAAGGTTTTTACTAAAATAGATTCTAATGTCCCAAAAATTGAGGCGTTAAAGCATATTTTCTACCTTTTACCTTTATAGGCGTGAAGTATAAGAAGGTTTAATTGAGTATCCTATATACCTATACAAGTCATCCCCACTAAATCTATTTTCCTGCTCTCTCGCTTTGCCACGTCACTGTCTATTCCCGTCCATTGGATCGCTCTGCTTTAACAGATCAGATTGTTTTTGCCGTCCTTCCTGCCCTGCTCAGTTCTATAGTACTCGATCGGCCCAGTCCAGCCCCTCCCGCGGTAGGGAGCGAAGGGTCGCTGGCTGCCCCACTTCTGCCTTTTAATCTTCACCTTCCAATAACCACCGCTTGCATTATTGGAACGTCTCCTCCCTTCTCATCTTCTTTTATATAACGACACGTACGCGAGTTGTTCTGCTAATTATGATTCAAGAAGAGAAGTGGGTATGAAGGTTGATGCTGCTGCTTCCTGGATGACTACGAGGACTGGAGGAGGTTGTTTCTTTCCATGCCATGATATCCATTATTGTAGGTTCATCCTCAGTCCAGCTAAATATGTAAGTCTCTCTTTATAATCTATATGATGCAAATTGGGCCATTTTTCGAATAGTTTGTAATACCTTCATCCATGTTTTTACTTTTTAATGGTCCTAATACCTTCATCCTTTTCTTTCTCTCTATTTTTTTATCTCTCCCTTGGAGCACTATTTGTGCCAGTGGAAAGTCACTCCTTTCAATCTCTTCTTTGGATTACTTCACTTTCTTTGCAGGTTTATTCCATGGAGGATTACATGAATTCCCGTCTGTTTTTTTTTCAATTGCTAACTATACATTTCCTATCAAGCCTTCAATTTCTGCTGCTTCATGTCTATAAAATCGAGCGATGTTATCCACTGATCCACACAATTATCAAGGAAACTGTCGATCGAGAAGCCATGTTGTATATATAACACTAGCGTAAAGGGAATAGTATTGGCATGTCCTGTTTTGTTTCTTCAGGTTAGATAATGACTCTGTCACATGCACGGCAGCAGGTATCTTCCTCTGTCAACACACACTGTATTGCATTGGTTATATTTTTCATTGTTGGTTGCTTTACAGATATATTTTTAGATATAATAGAATAAAATACCAGCCTTTGCCTCGCACATAGCCGTGCTTTACAGATATTAGATTGGTGTTTTGTCTCAATTGCCACTATTGCAGGTTTGCCACTATGCAGCTCATGTCCGGCCAGCAACTGCATTGCTAATGACTGTCACTGTGTGAAGCCTTTTGGATTATTTGGCATAATTTTGGTGCAGGTATGTAGCACTGTTGATCAAAAATCATGTTATTGTAGTTTGTTATGTCTTTATATTTTACACTGTAGCTGATTCTATTCACTTGGTGATCCCCTAAAATTATATGTGAATTACCTTGATGATAGCTTTTTTTTTTCATTTGAACTATTTGTTATAGAGTTCTTTTATGTGATGATCAACCATAATTCATAAAGTATGGGTCTCCTCAGCTACGTCTTGCCTATTTTGTTCATCGATCAAGGAGTAAATCATGAACGACATCATCATAGACCATCATTTTTTTTTGTTCTTGGTGATTTATGGATTAATTGGATTCATAACTATTTTGTTGTTTAGCTTTTCTTTTATTATGATTACACAATATATCATTTTTTCTTTTTTTCAAAAAAAACAACGCTAATGCAACATGTTCAAAGTTTATAAATTTATATTTTTACTAAAGTTATTCAAATATCCCGCAGCAACGCATGGGGTATCATCAACTTATTATTATCAGAGAGCGCACTTTCTGTTGCTTTGAAGGCAAAGTGAGCTACTGGAGCATCGATCGGCAGGACCTGACTCACCTGAGGATGTTTTTACAGACATGAGTTGTAATGGTACATATGATATGCAAGTTATTTACTCCGTACATTACAAGTTATTTACATCTCAGGAAGATCATGTACCAAACTACCTATCGTGCTGCAACATGACCATGAGCAGGACTGTAAGGTTACGCAAAAATGACGAATATGCCTTTTATGTATCCATGCTTGCCTCACCTCTCGGAGTGTACGAGGAAGAAAACTAATTTACTCTGTTTCACAATAAGAGTATGTATTACTCCCTCCGTTTTACGTTTTACCTTATGATCCATTACCTATCTAGATTCCCTAACACACAGGAGTATAAATTTAGACACGTGTGAAACACATACAAGGAAAAATGGGATTCCAACCCACACTGTATCACTGGTGGAGAAATACTCTTTACTCCCGATTTAGAACCCTTTGTAATCCCGGTTTTTCAACCGAGACTACGAATCTCTTTAGTCCCGGTTGGTAACACCAACCGGGAGTAAAGAGGTTACCAACCGGGACTAAAGAGGGGGAATCTTTAGTTCCGGTTGGTGAGGTGAATCGACAGTTCCTCGAGATCCTTTTTTTTTTATTTTACTGTTGATTTGCTAATGGCTAGTGTTAATCCATATATTTTCTCCCGAATTGAATGGGATGCACATCCCCAAATCAACATTCCAAATATTAAGTTACTTATACACAGATCAAATACATCACAAATCCTAAAAGACTACACACAAATTAAATACATCACAGATTATACAAATTATACATCTCAGATCCATGCAATGCAATGAATCATAAAATCTAAAAAAAAATATACATCCAGTGAAATACAAATTATATAAAAAAAAGCAAATGAGCCGGGGCCCGGCCGCCTGCCCGCCGCCGCCACCCGCCGCCGCCGGCCTCCTGCCCGCCGCCTCCTCCCTCTTCGCGGTCGCGTCGCCGCCGCCCGCCCGGCTGATGGAAGAGGGAGTAGAGGGGAGGAGGAGGAAGGGCCGGCTGATGGGAGAGAGGAGAGGGGAGGAGGAGGAGAAGAGGAAGGAGAGGAGGAAGAGGATTGGATCTGAGAAGAGGAAGAGAGGGGATGTTCTAATCTTATCTAAATATCTGTCTGGGACTTAACCGATCAGATGTGGGAGAGAAATATTTACTTCCGGTTGATAACTCCAACCGGCACTAAAGATCGATCTAAAGTGTTGGTAGTATCAACCGGGACTAAAGATCCTCGACCCCCTGCCATACATCTGACATGGGATAAACCGGGACTAAAAATCATCTTTAGTCGATCAAAAATTTTTTAACCGGGATTAAAAATCGTTTTTTAGTCCCAGTTTTTAATAGAACTGGGACTATTGTGAGATGGTTTCTCCACTAATGTATCTCTTGCCCAGCTATTGAAACAGCAAATCACATCATTCTTCATTGCAAATTAGCAGGAGAAGTCTGGAAGAAGCTCAACCTCTATGAGCCAGCCGTGCGCAGCTCTAACATACAAGATTTCGTGGAATCAATCCTGGATACCTTGCCAGAACACCAGAAACTGGGATGGCCTGCGTGCTTTGCAGCTTGTTCGCACGGTCTTTGGAAGGCACACAACTAGCTGATCTTCAAGCTAACTGAATCAAGCGTTACGTACATCCTGCTTCAAATAAGAGAAAGTCTCCAGTTGTGGGTTCATCGCCTAAAGCCCAGCCTTCGCGAGAACATCAACACTTGGGCAGACAAACTTAGCTAGGTTTTCTTTTATTTTTGTGTATCGTTTTATTCTTCTTCTTCTTCTTCTTCACCCTTCCTTTTTTTTTCTATCTTTCTTTTTTCTTTATCCTTCCTCTTTGTTCCCCCCTTATAATCTCTTGCCAGCCACCGGCTTTGTTACTTAATGACCACCATTAATGCAATGGTAATAAGGTAGAGTCTCTCTACCTTTTGCGTCTAAAAAAACACATACAAGGATGCATGCATGTATTATTCAAAACACAAAACGGCTTATAATGCTAAACAGAGTAAATAATCATTTCAGTTGCTCTTCACAGGCGTCCTTTATTGTGATCCTGTTGACTAACCAATAAAATCTCAGAATGTTTGAATAGAAGTGAAGATTCTTTCTCATATCCTGTTTGGATCCTCCGGGCTATTAAATAGCTCTCCGGAATCTTGTTATTTAGAAGTATTAAACGTCGATTACTGACAAAACCTATTCCATAACCCCTGGGGTATTTTGCGAGGCGAATCTAACAAGGTATATTAATCCATGATTTGCTACAGTGATGCTACAGTATCATCCGCGATCATGAATTAATATACCTCGTTAGATTTGTTTCGCAAAATAGCCTAGGGGTTATGGAATTAGCTTTGTCAGTAATCTACATTTAATACTCCTAAATAGCAAGATTCCGGAGAGCTATTTAATAGACCAGATGATCCAAACAAGGCCTAATATCTACTGACATACTATGTTGTATAGTATGAACACCGTTTGATCAACTCACTCCTTTTTCTTTAGTCATTTTTCATAAGTTAGACTTCACCGATTGTGTTTTCGCTCTTGTGTGGGGCTTCAAAGCTTATCATCTGTAATGTACGTTAGACTGGCTCAACAGTACATCAGTGAGTTTGGTAGTTGTGAAGTTGGAGCTATAGCATCAGCGGGGCATGACGTGTGGTAACGATAACATGAGCCTATTTAAGCTATGATTTGATGCAGGCTAGGTTGTTACCCTTACACTGATGTTTCCCAACGAAGGTGGAGTCACCCGATCACGAGGGTGATGGTGTGATAATGATAACATCATGTCTTCAGTGTGCGAGAGTCTCTTTTTTTTCTAGCTGCTTGTTCCTGTGGTGAATGGCGTTGGTTGAGTGTCGTGCTTGGTTTCCCTGTTCTCGTTGCCTTGGTAGTTTAGGTTAGTTGGTGAAGTGGACATTTTCTTTTTTTAATATAAAACATCAACAATAACTTAACCGTGAAAAAAAGGGAAAAAAGAAGCTTGATAGTTTGTTCAGATTTTTTTGGTTTTACTATAAATTTGTCTACAAATCTTCTCTTAACAATTTTTCAAATATAAATAAATATATTACAATTACATTATACTTGTATATAACTTTGACATATTAATGTTAATCGTGCTGTGCTCGAACTCTATTCTGTTGCTAAATTTGATAATTTTAAATGTTGCTAATTTTTTCTATAAGTTTAGTTAAACTTAACCAAGTTTGGTCTACTTATACGATATGAAATGAGGGATATATAACTTAGACATAGGTCGTGTTTCGTTCGAGCCAATTTTTTTTTAACATATACGAACACACATTTGAAGTATTAAACGTAGATCAATAACAAAACAAATTACAGATTTCGACTGTAAACTACGAGACGAATCTTTTGAGCCTAATTAATCCATCATTAGTTACTGTAGCACGTATGTCTAATCATGGCGTAATTAGGCTAAAAAGATTCGTTTTACAATCTACATGCAAACTGTGTAATTGATATTTTTTTTGTCCACATTTAATGCTTCATATATATGTTTGAATATTTAACGTGATAAAAAAAATTAGAAGCTTGAAAAAAAAATTAGAATCTAAACACAGCCATATATTGTTAATCGTGTTGTGCTCGAACTGCATTCTGTTGCGTGCGTGCAATTCGGATTAGTATTGGGTTTGCTTGTTTGGTTCTCCGTCCCCGCTCCGTGACGCGGTGGCACTCGCACCGGGTTCCGATCGCAGACGCACCACGCAAACGCAACGACGCCGCACACCTCCCTCGAAATCGAAACCCAAAAACTAAGCACAGCAGAGCGAGCGCGAGGAGCCCGGCGGCGAGCGGCGGCGGCGCCGGAGGAGGATGGGGAACAAGATCGCCAAGACGACGCAGGCGTCGGCGACGGAGTACTACCTCCACGACCTCCCGTCCACGTACAACCTCGTGCTCGTCGAGGTCGTCAGCCGCGGCCGCTTCCTCAAGTCCGTCCGCTGCAAGCACGACGAGGGGCTGCTCCTCGTCAAGGTCTACTTCAAGCGCGCCGGCGAGCCCCTCGACCTCAAGGTAAGAAAATTCGGCAGGCTTCGCGGCTCGCGCGCCCTTCACTCTGCCCCCGTCCCCCCCTCGATTTGGGGTTTGGAAATCGCGTTTTGAGATCTGTGGGTGCTGGTTTTGGCAGGAGCATGAGCGGAGGCTGGAGCGGATTAGGAACGCCTTCGAGGGGTTGGAGGGATCCCACGTCTGGCCCTTCCAGGTGAGGATTGCGTGCTGTGGTATCCATCGAATTTTGCCCGTGCTTTACGAACTAGCGCAATCGGTCGTGGGACTTTAGCGCATTGTTATGTTGCATAAGGGTATTTGGTGGATTAGACTGTAGTTTTCATTCAGAAAAATAATGCGTATTTACTCTGTGTGGGGTTTAGGTGGAAATTTCAGATCAGGCAGTAAAAGGTTGTTTCCTTTGGTAAACTGTCATTAGGGCTTTTCAAGCCATACCATTAGGGGTTTCTAGAGTATGATATCGATTTCTATGGTTGATTAAATTCTAATGGAGTTAGGAATATGCTCATGCCCTCGTAATATTTTCACACTAGATAGTTGTATGAAATAGTGAAATTTAGCGGTTGTTGCATCCATCAGGATGTGAACATAGTTATCTACGTCTATTGTAAATATATGCCCTCCTATTATTTTTGGGTAACATATGCTGACATGACATCCCATGTCTTCAGGTTTGGTTGCAAACGGATAAGGCAGCGTATCTCCTTAGGCAGTATTTCTACAGCAACCTGCATGATCGACTAAGCACACGGCCTTTCCTCAGTAAAATTGAGAAGAAATGGCTTGCTTTTCAGGTGAGCCATCCTTTTTATGGTTGTTACTGGATAATCATTTGCATTTACAGAGTTAATGATCAGATCCTATGGTGACTGTTAGAAATTGTATAGCTATGAGTCACGCACTTAAAACTAGTGGAACATGTAAGAGTCATTATTCTCTTTCCATTCCAGATATGGTTACCAACATAGCTCATTTGGTTGTGCAGTTAATCCATGCTGTGGAGCAGAGCCATAGTAAGGGGATTTGTCATGGTGAGAAGGGTTTACTGTGCATCAGCAGTATTTTTTTTTTGTCTATTGATGTTTACACTGAGTTTTCTTGTTAGGTGACATAAAATGTGAGAATGTTCTTGTTACCTCCTGGAATTGGCTATATCTTGCGGACTTTGCATCTTTCAAACCA